GGAACTGTAGGTTTCCTATTAAGTTGATTATTAATGTTATCACTTCAGTTTATTGTTTTATTAAGTAATATAAAATATTCTCTACAAAATAAGCACCTGAACTCAAATAAAATTTAGGCACCTGGTTATACCAGCTCACTAGCGGTGCTGACAGTACTTTTGATCTAAAATCTCTAAGCCTTATTCCAGTTTGCCTTAAAGTAAAATAAAATTAGTGTTATCCTTTATATGTTTTTGTGAAGTTGAGTTTGGTTAACAAGATGAAAACTGAGTTGTCAGGGTAGAGAAGTAGTACTACTTGAATACTTCCTTTATGTTTAGTGTGGATTTTAAGTTGGGAAGAATTTCTTCTCATGAGTCCTGAATTTTTAAATCCAGGGGCAGGCAAGATCTGTTTCAGACGTTATACTGTTTCTCAGAAAATTTGGAGTAGATAGATGAACAAATCAAGATAATTTATTTTCTGATTGAGTTAAAATTACGGTCCTGGTTCTGCGGTGGTGAAAGGGGGGTGAAAGAGAGTTGCAAGATTTATTGGCACTTAACTCCACAAAAGATTTCAGACAATAAGAAGGAATTTTTCTTCACTTTTTAAAAAGTGTCTATGTATAGTGGGTATTATGTTCTTGATAAACACATACTAAAATAGAGTCATCTTTGAAATGAAGTTTTGGTAGAGAAACCACTGTAGAACACAAATTAATTGTGAAATGTTATTCAAGAATGTTTTTCTGAACCTATAGTAGTTTGGGTTTATTTTGTTATTGTTCTTTTTGTTTATTTTTTTCTGGTTGGCTGCTGAAATGGTTTTCTAGCAATGTTTTGTTATTCTGTTTCGTTTCAATAATACTCTGTAATGGTGTTCTTCCTATTTCAATGAGAGGCTGAAAATTCTAAGAAACATTTTTTAAAGTGATAGCTTTTGATATATCTAAAATAAAGTCATCTGTATTTTCTCTCAATTTTATTATGTGGTTAAAATAAAATTTGTCTAAGTTTTTTAAAGGAAATTATATTGGCGGAAATGTAAATAAAATTTAGATTTATTGTACTAGATGCATTTGAGAGGTTGTAATTCGATTTGTGTAGGCTTAACTAGTTTTTTTGTCTTAAATGACTAAAGTAATTTGTTATATAAGCGATAAAACAAGTTTTTGATACTGTGCTTTAGTAGTATTTGTTGCTTTTTAATCTAGTGATTGAATGGGGGCATTCTTGTCAATGCGTGGCCTTGCTTTTCCGTGATGCAAGGTCGTTAATACAGTTCTGTTGGTTCTTGAGTTGGAGCGTGAAGAAGAAAGGATAAAAGGCTCTTCTCAGTGTGTGTGTTTGTGGTTCATGACTGATGCCACGAGTCCACTGGCCTCAGCAGTCTAGAGTTAGCTTGTCAGCCTTCATGGGCCAGGTGTTAAATGCATAGCGAGGGGATTTTCATAAAATGCCTTTTCTTAGTTAACCTTTTGCTAAAATATTTTGGTCAAATGGGTCATTTTTTAATTGGGGATAGTTGTTTTTATTGGTTCTTTTTATTGGAGGGGTGGCATAAAGGCGGGAAATTACAGAAGGATGAAATATACAATGGTGGTGACTTGAGGGTGGGAAAATATGTATACCTTTTTTTAAATGAATATTTCGATGGATAGAGAAAGACACAATAGAAGTGTCAAAAATTGTTATCGTGTTTGACAAACTGTGGCTGCAACAAACAATCTTTTTGCTATATTTTGACATGAACAACTGTTCTTTTATTGGGGCCATTAATGCTGTTTTGGTATATAATGGGCAACCGAAGACAATACTTAGCAGTGTCAATGTCCATAAAGCATCGAATACTGTGATAACATCCAGTATCCCTAACAGCAGTATTTCAGAGTCCCTGCCTATTTAAACGGCGATCTGTGAATGTACGGGCTTGGGGATGCGTGAGCCACATCGCCTCTAAATTTGATTGGAAGCTACAGCACTGGCGTAGGCTGATGGATAGCAGATTAGAGCCCTGATTAACCATGTGATTCGAAGACTGGGAATTATTGTCTAAGCAAGATTCATCAGACACAATCAGAATTTCAAGTGGTCAGATGGAATTCAAATGTGTATTGTGGCTTTTCCTCCCCTAGTGCTCTTCCTTCTAGGTTGCCTATTTTCTCCTTCTTTCCCCAAAGCTGAAAAATACTTCTTTGATGAATTTGCTCCTTACCCTAAAGCTGTCTGTCTGTTATTCATCAGAAAGCAGGTCGCAGTTCAGTGAGCAGAAGAAAAGATTTTAATAGAAGCTATGCCAAGGGCTGTAATGCATCATTTTAGGGCCCTAATTACATTACAATGACAAATATCAATGGTGACAACAGCAATAACCTACATCCTTTAATGGCTGTGCTGGAAAAGGAGTTTGGGCCTCACGCCATTAGATTAGACTCAGTTTCAAAACATAGGCCATTAGAAGTGTGTGTCCACAGTATTATTGGCTGATCACTGAAGCCCAGTGGAAAGGCCTGTAAATAAATGATGCCTCCCAAAAGCTGGGTCCTGTGGGACAAAAGAAGCAAAATTAGATGACCGTGAAAGCAGCAGTGTTTCCGAGGCAACTTTGGCTTTCAAAGTGAGGAATGACCGGCTTAATTTTATGAAATCACACACACATCCCACCCCCCTGCTGCCAATTAGCCTGACCATGAAAATCCATTGGCATGACAACTTAAAGAAATTAAGAAGTCTTTTAAACAAAAGGGGGCCTCTAAAGAAAATGTTTGGAAGGCACCCTCCCCGCTTTTCTGTTATGTATGTGTGTTACTATACATGAACCAATAAAATAACTTTTCTACCAATAAAATGCTCTTCTACACTTATTTTTAAGAAACTATAGATTTTTTTCATAGTTGTCAGACTTAAAATAGTCTGTGTCCAAAGTTAAAGGCGACAACTTACATATCTCTTGGTCTTTATTTGGCCAGCTGAGTAAGTTTCCTCAGTTGTTTTTATTGCTGAGATTATGCAGCAAACTAAAGAACTCAGTTTTCTTATGTGCCCACACATTTTTCAGCCCTCCTAGCAAGGGACTATTTTATTTATGTAAACAACATAATGAGGAAAATATGCTTGGCAGATGGTTCTAAGCATTAGAATCATCAGTTTGGTCTGCCCCAAAGTGTCTCATTATCTTTTATTCTCTCCCCCTCCACCTCTCCCTACAAAAAGCTTAACAACCAAATGCCTTTGAGATGCCCTGCTTTTAGACTGGCAAATGCCCCTCTATTTTCTCAGCTCACACTGGAATTTCACCCCATAACCACTGTGTTCGTCCAGGTTGGAGAGTGATTCGGTGATTCCCATTGCAGCTTTTCATGGTGGTTTAAGCATTCTTAAAGGAGAGCTAAATGTTCCATGGGGCCAGTGCCGTAAATTAAATCAGGTCGGCACAGTTGGGTCCTTACTCACTTCTGCTTGTTGGTGCTGGGTTTTTGTCCATCCTGTTAGGAATGCAGAACTGGAAAGGAAAGCTTGGGTTTTGAAACTTTATGGTAAATTTGTGTTTATTCTTGCCTGGCAAAGTTTTTAGGGTGCTGGCATTTAAAAGACTGCTTCGCTGTAGAGTCAAAAGGATTGCTGACGAAAGAAGGAAACCTAGGTTGCACAAGCAGAGTGTCCGTCATTCTGGTAATGACTTTGTAAGAAAAAGGAGCATTTTGTCCTCTTACAAAATGAGGAACTGACCCTGCCGGAATTTATTTTAAGAGTGTCTCAAGAATAGTAATTGTTTTGTTTTCTCTCTCTCAACATCCCTCTTCTTTTGCCCACACTATCATTAAAATACAAGCTTTTTCTTATGTATGTGTATTTATTTTTTAAAAGATTTTACTTATCTTTAGATGGGAAGGGAAGGAGAGAAATAATCAGTGTATGGTTGCCTCTCATGCATCTCCTGCTGGGAACTGGCCTGCAACTCAGGCATGTGCCCTGACTGGGAATCGAACCGCAGTTGTTTGGTTCACAGACCCACATTCAATCCACTGAGCTACACCAGCCAGGGCTGTATGTGTATTTTTAAAAAAGTGTTTACACGTCACATGCCAAAGTCTATAAGGAGCCATTTGATAATACAAATTACAATGACCACTGGTGAAGCTTTGTGTTGCCTTTTTGAAGAAAACACAGTGGTGGCCTCCCTTCCTCCCTCCCTTTCTTCTTTGCTGCCCTCCCACCCCTCTTTCCACCTTACTCTAGCATCCTATTGGTGTAAACTTTTATACTTATAAAAATCTCTAACGGCTATTAGAGAAAAATCCGTTATCTGACATTATTGGGACTTTTACAGAAAAGTAGTACCATGCTGATTGATGTTCCCAAGGTTAGTCTTCGTAAGCACACATACTGCTTGCTGCTGAGTGTAGGAAGATTTTAGCGTGTTCTAACAAGCCTCTTCACACAGAAAATTTTGTTGAATACATCTGGGAATTTTTATGGTTGAAGAACATGTACTATTTTTCAACAATTAATTACTAAGATCTGAATTAATGAACTTTTGGGGGTTGGTTAGGTACTGTTCTTTTGGGAGGTTGGGGACTTGATTATAAAATTCCATTGAGTAATAATTGAAGAAGTTGGGGTATAGGGAAGAATGTATATTTACTATTTAAATTCTAAAAATTTAGGGTTTTATGAAAAAAAAATCACATTAAAATGAATAAGGATCCTGTTGGGGGCTTTTGAAAATTGATTTCCAGTTCTGAAAATTAAATTCCGTGTTATGTTGTCCTGGTTCTTGAAGGTTGAATATTTGAGATGAATTCTGGTTAATAAATTGTGCTGTTAATGTGGCACCGTTGTCACTGCCTCCCTTTAATGGGCTTGCTGATGAGTTTTCCTCTTCCGTATGAAATACAACAGCCAGGATATAAAGTGTGTTTTAATATCATCTTGTTAATATTTTGGGAATTTGTAACCAGCTGACTGTTCTCTTTATTGCTTTCCTTTCCTTTTTTTTGTTTTTGTTTTTTTTGCAGGCAGAGATTGTCAAGAGGCTGAATGCTATCTGTGCACAAGTCATTCCTTTCCTGTCCCAAGAGGTAAGGCAGTTGGTTTCAGGCGCTGGGGTAAATGGGCGCCATTTCAAGTGGTTTTGCAGAAAAGGGATCGTGGGACTGACGCTTTGGCCATGTCAGTCTCTTGGTGTTTGTATCGCACATTTCCAGGATACAGTGTTTGTATTCCTACTTCTACACCTTATTAATGTTCAGTGGAATATGGTTGTGTTTATATAATGAAATACTTTCTAATGTGCAAAGGAAAATTCAGTTAGAATATTTAGCCGTCATTGGACAATGTAGTGTTGCTCAGAATTATGGCTGTTTGCCTTAGTGGCATCTACTAGGGTAGATTGAAAAATTGCCTGGAGGGCAGAAGTTTGTGCTGCATTTGTGTCACTGGGCAGTAGGCATTGGCAGAAAACTTATTAAATAAAAAGTACTTTATATAGTAAACAAACTAATGTAACTTTTGGGTAGCAGCTCTTAAAAAAAGTTACTTATTACTTGATGAAGTCTTTTAATTGCCTGTGTATTTGAGAAAAGATATGCAAGATGGACTCAGTGAATTCACTGCTCTGAGTGCCCCAAACTTCATTCATGCCAAAGCCAGCATTCGGCTTCCGCTGGCAGTGCACAGTGTCCGCACATGCACACGCATTGGAATGAGGGGGTGCATTCCTAGTGCATGGTGACTTCCATGCGGCTTTTTTTTCCTTTTTGTTTGCTTACTTGCTTTGGTAGTTGCAAAGTTGAGGTGAACATGCTGAAAAGGGATAATTTTTGCTTCCAGAGTACGGAATCCTTCATTGCTCAGGGAAGATCAGCCCTGAGAAGGAAGAAGCTAACTAAAGAAATATCTGCATGTTTTGCAGCTGCAGTGCTATGTGTTGTGGGACGGAAGGCACCGAGGCACTGTCCTCCTACCCTTCAGTTCTTTTTTGTTGTGCCACTGCTTTTCTGGAGAGCGTTCACCTCCTGCGTCCCAATGGGCATGAGCTAATGATGTTAGAATACAGCTGATACTTGTGTATGCATGTATGTTAAAGCGATGTGGTGTCCACTGTGACTTCCCCTTTGGTCTGAAATGAGTTATACCTCAGGAACCATGGGTACCTTTCATTGGATATATATACACCCCCGTTAGGGAGCTCATATCACCAACCCTGGACCTGGGTTAAAATCCTGAATTCAAATGCTCTTCTGGAGTGCCAACAATAAAGGATGTATTGTCTTTCTCCCGCTTTAGTTGTTACCACAAAACTACCACCCACTATATTCCCATTTACCTATTTCCACTCAGAATTTGCTTGTGACTAGGGTAGCTGGAAAGGTGAAGGAGAGTCAAGGGGCCTAATTGCATTTCTTTAGGAAGGCTTGGGTGCTTCTTCTTATTTGAAGCAGCTTTGCTTTATGGAGATACGGAGAATGGGAAGAGTGGGTGACCCCACAGAGCTGTAACCAGGCTGAGGAGTCACAGCTGAGGCAGAAGGAAAAGTTTGAATTATCCCTTGGGTGGCATTCGGCCTCTGCAGGCACAGACCTCTTATACGAAATCACCCAACAGCTCCTTCCCATGGCATGGTTGCAGGAGTGTTACATTTAGAAGTGGAAGGAGGTCGTGTGGGTGTGGGTGGGGCTAATTTGCCAGTAGGCTGTTTTCCCACGTGAGTTATGTTGTTCGTGGAAGCAGGCCCAGTAGGAACAAAATGTATAATGGTAGGTGGTACTGAGCAAGATTGGACTGGAATTAATTGGCTGAGAAAGTTGTACCCTGTAGAAGAAAGCCATGGGGGGGGGCGGTCCTGGTGGCTCCTTTTCTGCTTTAGGCTGGGAGCAGGCGGGCATCATAATCTCACCCTTCACTATTTATTTCCCCATTACTTTTGACATTTCTTGGTTGAAATCCTTGATTCATGTGTAATGAATGACCCATGTTGTGATTTTCTAAATCCTTATTCTGTGTATATCTGTTGCTCTGTTGACTTTGGATTTAATCAGTTCCCCCTCCCCACCCCCCCAGTTTCCCGAGGTGTGTTTATAGCTTCTAATGTGTGGGCCACAGACATGTTTGTTCGTGTCCAGTCCAGTCCTCTCTGATGTTTTGTGTCTGAATATCGCCCACCTTCTTTCCTCTTCTGGGCATTCTGTGAGCATCAGACTCTTTGCCTTTACCCTGAGGCCAGATGGACGTAATCTGGAGGGAGGGGAGGAGGCAGGTTATTAGAGGAAGATGAATTCCATTTCCTGTCTCTTCAGAGGCATGGAAAATCACTCTTGCATGGCTGCGAGCCTCACTCAGAACCAGGGTTGAAGGCTCCTAATCTGATCTTTTAACACCAGCTCTCTGTGTGACGGTCTCACTGCCAGAACGGCAGCTGCGGTATCAGAATTTATTTTAAAATGTTTTTATTTAAAACTTAAATGATTACATACAGGGAAAGAAAAAACATTCCCTGAAGACTGGTGTATAAGCTACAGGACAACAGTTGGAGAGATTTTTTTTTTGGGGAATTTGACAGAAACAAGAGGTAAATTTACATACATGTAGATGAAGTCTACTTTTAAGTTAGCCCCTGTGAGGTGATTAATGTACCTGCCTCATGTTGCTTGTGTCTAATGTAACACATTTTCTAAAATTAAAAAACTCTATAGTGCTGAATGGCAACTATTTAGTTTTAACTGCAAGACTTTGTTTTAGAAATAAATTGTAGAATTGTAGATCAGAGGTACTCGAAGTGCATTTGTGGATATAATAATCACAGAAAAAAGTATTTTCTTATTAGGTTTCACTAAGACTTTTTTTAAAATTAGAAAAAATTAAAGTCAATATATATTTTAATGATGTGCTTGTTGTACTCACGACTACTTCCAAAGTCCCAGGCATTAAAGACATTGCCAACTGTTGTAATTAAAGTATCACTGATAGTCCTTAAAATTTTATAGGATCCCTAACATCAGAATTTAGAGAAACCTTATAACTGAATCTTTACCTGTCTAAAGCTTTTTTCCCTCCCTTTTTCTTTTGGGTTTTAGGAATGGGTAAAGACTAATCTATATTCTGCAGCCCTCAAATTTCTTCTTTAAAGGGCAAATCTGAAAGTAGTAAGTGGGAAGCTCTCCTCTATCCCACTTTGGGTTTCATTTGCAGGGAAGAAACTATAAATAATCAACTCCCCATTGGCAGTTCCATAAGCCAGAGATGCCAGGATGATGACAGTCAGATCTGGGTCAGGTCTTGACCTCCCTGTTAAAGATTGAGTGGCTTACTATAGCCGAGTTAAGCTGGGTGACCTTTAGCAAGTGATTTGCCTCTCTAAGCCTCAGTTTCCTCATCTGTACGATGAGGTTAATAATAGCATGGGACACATGTGATCCCTTTGAGGATTATGTGGGATTATACACATGCAGTTTAGCACATAGTAAGCACCTCTTGATGTTTACCAGCAGTAGTACTAACTGCAACAGCAGCGAAGCTCTAGATTTCCTTGTAAGACTCGGAGTGAGTTTTCTTCCTCTCTAATGTCCTTCTGATAGAGGAAAAAAAGGCAAATTAAAACCAAACCTGGGGCTTGACACTAACTAGAAATCTCAGTGAGGCATTAGGTAGCCTCCAAAATGATTCTCTTCTAGCTCCAAAAATTATTTTTCACATTTAGCAAACACCTAATGCCTGCAAGCAGGGGTCCGTCCATAAGGTGCCAACTCTTCATGGTGGTCAACCTGTAGCGCTCACCTCAGAAGAGCAGCGGTTTTGGATGGGGTCTGTGTTTTACCCACAAAGCTATGTAGAAAAACAAACTTCTCCATCCATTTGGGATCTGGCTGCTTTAAATATATACCTGGTTGCTTAGAGGAAGTTGGTTTTGTGTTTACACGTAGTTTATGTGGATGGTTTTTTTTTTTTTTTTCTCCACAGTGATTTCAGGGTATTGCTTTTGTAGACCTTTAGACATTATGGGCCCTTAGCAAAGTTAAAGGTTGCTAGTAAATAGACATGTTGCTAGTGTCCCCCTCCTCCTTTTCCAAGAACGTACCTGTAAGAGGGATTCTAATGCAGACTGAAAACTGTATTACAGTTCTCACTTACAGGGTGCTACTTGTTACACCCTGGCACCAAGGTGTGCACTGTTTCTGCTAATTTGGCTTTGTGTTGGGAAAGTTGATCTTCCTGAGCTTTAATATTCCTAATAAATGATGGGGATAACCCCATTTTTATAACGTATATAAACATATTACAACATATATGTACTTAAATATAAAGCACTTGTGATAGAAATGCTAGTTTTGGTTTCCTTTTACTGGAGAATGGATTCTATTCCAGCTTATTTTGGGTCCCAAGACATTTGGAGAGAAAGGACTTAGTAAAAAAGTGGGAAGAGTTCAATGTAATTTCAGAGTGAGCTGGCTGGCAGACTTCCTATCAAGTTCGCTAGGTCTTGCAGATTAGGGGCTACTTCCAGCTTTCAGAGGAGGGGTGTGCTTTATTTTTTGGCAAAGCTGTAAGTGTGGATTTAACCTATTAGCCTAAACATTAAATATTAGGCACTTTCTGAAGACCTGATTTAGAGGAAAGTTGTGGTTTTTGCATGCTTATTTTCCTGGATTATAAAAATTGCTTGTTTTTGAGACAGGCAGGATATGTTTCATGTAATCAGCAAGGTATTCCTAAGACCTTTGAGAACTTCAAACCCCTGATAGGCTATAGGTGAAAATTATTGTAGTTGAAAATCTTTTTTCCTCAGGGTACAGTTGTATTTTTCAGAAACTTGCTGCTGCTCTAACAAGGAACAGAGAGAATTCATTGGAAGAGTCGTGTTGTGTTAGAGACAATGTGATAAGAACCTGAGGGTCAAGCAGACCTAGAGCCCAATCACAGCTCAGCCTTTATCATGTTGGGTAAAATACTTCACTTCCTAGGCTGCAGTTTCCTCATCCATAGAATGGGAAACCTGCACTGTATATCTGCAACATAGAGTTGTTATATGTGGATTAGTGACAGTGTAGAAAACCTAGCTGGATATTTGGCTACTTGAACAGAT